GCTGATAAATTAAAACGCGTAGATGTTTTTATTATGGATGAAGCTCCTATGGCGCCACGTTATTATTAGAAATAATGGATCGAACATTACGTGATATAATGCAAAATGATTTATATTTTGGTGGAAAAATTGTACTTCTCGGAGGAGATTTTAGACAATTAATGCCTATAAAAGAAAGAGCTACACGTAGTGAAATTATAAACTTATCTATAAAATTTAGTACTTTATGGAAACAATTTAAAATATTTTCATTAACGGAAAATATAAGAGTTTTATCACAGGAAAAAGAATTTGCACAATTTTTACTTGATTTAGGTAATGGTACTTTAAATGATCAATCAAATAATGTTCAAATTCCAGAAAAATATATTGCAAACGTTAATTCGGATATGATTAAAGAAATATATGAAGATATTATAACACATAAAAGATATAAAAATATTGCTAATCATGTTATATTATCTGCTAGAAATATTGATGTTGATGAAATAAACAAAAAAGTAGTGAATTTGTTGGATGAAACAACAGAAAAAATTTATACAAGTGTAGACGTTCTTGAAACATCTGATAATGAAGACATACATGAAATAATTATGACAGAATATCTTAATCCTACCAAAACTCTTTTTAAAAAAAAGAAAAAGGTTACGCCAAGTATATAAAAAAGTATCGTATGTTACATCCTTCCTAAACCAAAAATATTATTTTAACAAATAAAAATTGACCAAAAACAAATATGAGATCATTCAAGTTGCCAAGTATTTGATTAGACATAAAAACAAAAATTTCTTTTTAAAAACCGTTTAACCATTATACATGCAGCAAAAGTTTAATGCCAGTCTTTCCAAATATTTTTAAGTTTCATAAAACAGGCTTAAAGTGACTAAAATGACCAATGGGATCACAGTGAAGCAAAAACTTGGCGTGCCCGCATTTTATATATATCTTATTAATTAAATATTAATCAGGGTTGTGCGTCTACGCGTAAAATATAATACTCTACGTTTACGTGTAGACAACGTAAACTATTTTATAAAGCGTCATCTATGTAGACAGTCAGTAGACAATGAATTAATATGGCGTACAGGACGCATAACCTAGCTCTTATGGAAAAACAGTACGTTGATTAACTATTGTTCGAAGTGTTCCATCACTTCCATCGCGTAGTAAACGTTGCCGCATTCTGTGCTGAACATCTAAGATGCCACGAAAAATAAATAGTGGATTTAATGAACTGGATTTTACTCTGATAAAAAGAAACAATAAGTATTATGCACGTTGTGCATATTGCAGCCACGATTTAACTAATACATCTTTTCTCCGTTTAAAATCTCACAGGTAAATTAACATCTAATTGTAAGTTACTAGGATTTATGCATTATTTATATAATTTTGTAATTAAAATAATATAAATTATACAATTAAAATATGTCAAATCTAACCTATAATCTAACTCTAACTCTAATTCATTAAAAAATTGTTTTGTAGATCAATATGCAAAAATACAGCTACAACAAATCAAAATTCCTCTCACATAGACATTCATCAGGAAGAAGTAATGGTAAAAAATACTTTCCTAAAAATATGTTCCTTTTTTATGTCTTTATATCAATTTAGAGAAAATTTATATATAAGTATATTTTATATATAACATGTATATATGACTAAATAATATACTGTTCAGATTGTCGATGCAGTTACAAGCCAAGATTTGTCTCACATAGATGTTGAGGAAGAAATAGTGGTAAAACATATTTGTTCCTTATTTATATTTTTATATTAATTTAAATAAGATATGTATGTAAATGTATTTTATAACACTAATGTATGTACTAATGAATAATATATACTTTTCAGTTTGTCAATAACACAAAGCAAGTCAGTGCAGAGAATAAAGAAAACATTCCAAATAACACGGCTCTTATCACAAAAGATTATTATGTAGTACCTATCGATCCATTATGTGATACAGATCAATTAATGGATAAAACTGTACCTTCATCAACTCCACCATCAATTGCAACGCGGTCATCAAGTCCTCGTTCTTCGAAACGAAGAAAGAAGAACGAATCGTTAAATAGCTTCTTAGACAAAGTCTCGGATAAAGAACTTAACGAATTACATACAAAACTATGTAGTTTTTTTTTTGGATGCAATATTCCTTTTAACGTTATAGAGTCCGATCACTTTAAAAATTTTGTTAAAGCTCTTCGACCAGCTTATAGGTTACATTTACCAGGACGTAAAGCATTATCATCGACTTTATTAGAAAAAGAATATGAACGATGTCTCAAAATGTCGAAAGATATCATCAATCCTGAATCGGTATTACTTATAGATGGTTGGAAAAATACTTCTAATAACACGAAAACTGTTGTAACTATATTGCACAATGCTAAAGGACATGCTGCATTTCTTAATGCCTGGGATGTTACTAGTGAAAGTGAAACAAGTGATAAATTAACCGATATTGTAAACAAATCCATCCAATTAGCAATGAATTTATATGGTACAACAATATATGCAGTAGTATCAGATAATGC